CCATCAGATGAGCAGAACGAACCCTTTTCATTATCCAATATAGGTTTGTTAAATACTACACAAAAGGGATTACAGGAATCACAAAAATATTAGTACATAAAACTCGACAGAATAAAGTACAATATCAATCATCTACACCTGGGCTGATATGCATAAAACCTCTTTTAAGATAAGATATTCAATCGTAGTTCTAATTTATCGTAGGACATGTAGAAACATCCGTCTGTTCGGAACAAATCTTAACTCAAGTCCTGAATCCTCCGTACAAATAATAGATCAAACAAAGACAAACAACAACGAACAACACATCGTCCATCGGCTGACCTAAGGATGTAGTCAGGTCAGGTTTAGGAATTTTTGTCAGATGTTCGGACTCCTTGGGTATTTTCCTATGATACATGGTAAAATATTTTGCCCCATATCACCCACTTTTATTTTCATAGAAGACTTCAATAGCTCATAAAAAGGTCATTGCCAAAATTTAAGCAGATTCTAGATTTTTTTCTTACGATTTGAGACTCAAATAATGCCAATGCTAAATATAAGGTAAAAGTCCGAGTCAGCCTTTTCCCGCCATTTAAAAAAAATCAAATATCTTAAAAAGAAGCAAAACTTTTAAACACACAAAGGAACCTGAACAGTCATAGTTTATATGTCATTGGTTAGCCATCTTTCATACTTTATTATTTTTTGGGACTTGGTAACCTTATGATTTTGCTATGGTCGATGTAACAATTGATGTACGGGTTTTAACGACATGGTATGTTATACTTTAAAGATATACAACATTTTTAATGCGACCGACGATTTGTTTTCTTAAAAAAAAATTAATTTTATATGTTGTTTTAATTTTCTGCGAAAATATCTTCATACTCATTAAAATCGAATTTTATAGGAAATTCGGAAATGTGAATAAAAGGGTAAATACGTCAATGAGAAAGCAACCCAACGACAAAATCAACAAAATAAACATCTAGAGGGCAGCATATAGTCCTCAACAATGGACAGGTGTCTATAATATATGTTAAGCTCTATATCATTCCTAGTCTGTAAAAGTTATGAATTAAATTAACAAAGATAAAACACAAGGCTACACCTAAAAAACTACAACAAAACAAACATTAACATTCAAAACACAAGGCTACACATAAACAACTACAACAAAACCAACATTAACATTCAAAACACAAGGCTGCACCTAAACAACTACAACAAAACAAACATTAACATTCAAAACACAAGGCTGCACCTAAACAACTACAACAAAACCAACATTAACATTCAAAACACAAGGCTACACATAAACAACTACAACAAAACCAACATTAACATTCAAAACACAAGGCTACACATAAACAACTACAACAAAACCAACATTAACATTCAAAACACAAGGCTGCACCTAAACAACTACAACAAAACCAACATTAACATTCAAAACACAAGGCTACACCTAAACAACTACAACAAAACCAACATTAACATTCAAAACACAAGGCTACACCTAAACAACTACAACAAAACCAACATTAACATTCAAAACACAAGGCTACACCTAAACAACTACAACAAAACCAACATTAACATTCAAAACACAAGGCTGCACCTAAACAACTACAACAAAACCAACATTAACATTCAAAACACAAGGCTACACCTAAACAACTACAACAAAACCAACATTAACATTCAAAACACAAGGCTACACCTAAACAACTACAACAAAACCAACATTAACATTCAAAACACAAGGCTACACCTAAACAACTACAACAAAACCAACATAAACATTCAAAACACAAGGCTGCACCTAAACAACTACAACAAAACCAACATTAACATTCAAAACACAAGGCTACACCTAAACAACTACAACAAAACCATCATCTAATAAACAAGGGAAATATTCCCATTCAGTATTTCACCCCACCATCTAATAAACAAGGGAAATATTCCCATTCAGTATTTCACCCCATCATCTAATAAAAAAGGGAAATATTCCCATTCAGTATTTCACCCCATCATCTAATAAAAAAGGGAAATATTCCCATTCAGTATTTCACCCCACCATCTAATAAAAAAGGGAAATATTCCCATTCAGTAATATTCTGAAATGCACAAGGGATCTAATAGGATTAAATCTTGGTGCGACTGGTTTTGTTTATACCATTATGTGACCTGGCCATAGGCTCTTTCCCTTAACTTTTCTTATTTTCAACAGCTTATAACTAGTGCAAAAATAAATGATGATTGAATGGATTTTAATCATAAAATGTATATAGAAAATAAATATTATACATAAACTTAATAAAATCACGAGAAATATATTATCATGAATTTTATTATTAAGTATTAATATTTATAATCTTATGAAAAGGTAAATAAAAATTTCACATTAAATTCATACTTGATTTAACAAGGAAGTCAGACATGAAGTTCAAGTTCATCATGATCATGATGATCATCATGAAGGTACACACCGCGTGCACTATGATAATGGACCATGACTGACTTCCTAGTTGTTACCTCCTAGTGATAGCTTTTAAATAAGTTTAATGTTAGACTAATGTTACAAAAAATTGGTAACGCTTCTTTTGTTGTTTGATGTATGAGTCTGACATTTATATAATTTAACAGTCATGCCTTTAAATGTTCAAGAAAAAAAGCTTTGCACAAAGCTTTAATATATACCGAGTAAGCAAAAGTTTGCAACAAACAGTTTCAGTTTTAGATTTAAAAAATAAAGCATACTATCAAGTACATCTTACAAAACATGTTTAACCACGCCGTATTTTTGCGCCTGTCCCAAGTCAGGAACCTCCAATCTTTTTTAGTCTTTTTGGATTTTTTTAATTTTGATTCATTTGTATTTGTCAGAGATTAGTGTGGCATTCATTTCTCTTAACTAGTTTACTAATTTAATATACTGTTTAGGGGGCCAGCTTAATCCCGGCATAAGATGCGGGATTTTCTCGCTGCGTTGAAGACCCATTGGTGGCCTTTGATCGGGTTGTTGTCTCTTTTTCGTTTTCTATTCTATTTTTGAACAAGACAAGTAACAGATTAATATATCATAGAAAATAAACCAGAAAGTTAATTTTTGACACAGTAAAAACAATAATAAAAACATTATATCTTTAAACCATTTTAATATATTTTTTTTAATTGGAATATTGTAACGTGTAACAAATGAGGCATTTAAATCTAAAACGATTCATTCAAGCTGTCCATAAACAATACGACGTTACCAAAAATATGTAACCATCTATTTATGCAATGTACATCAAACTTAGAATATACACTGGCTCCTTGCAAATATAAAACAACATCAATCAATTATGTATATACAAATACAATGCTATTAAATGGTCACTATCAGACAATGCGGGCTGGTGCAGTCTCCCTTAACTTCCTAATTGGACACTCTGTAACTATCAGAGACTACGGGCTGGTGCAGCCTGTCCTCCAAGTGGAACAGTCTGCTCTGACAACTTTACTTATATAAGATCAGCTTGTACATTTACGTTGTACCCAGTACAATGACTTAGTGTCCTCGCAATATTACAGCTCAATTATAATGTAATATATTCGTATATGCGATTCTTCTTTATAAGACCATCGACAGAACTGGATTAGTATTTTTCACCCGCTTATATATTCGTAGTCGAATACATTATTTCACTGATGGTGTGTTTCCAAATGTTTCCCTAACTGAATACAGAAAATCCCCGATGAACACTCCTAGAACCCTCGACCTTACCGCTAACTTTCCCGCCAAATGTCTGAAACAACAAAATGCTTTCCAGTGGCGGATCCAGATCTTTTCATAAAGGGGGGGGGGGGGGGGGGGCTGACTGACCTAAAAGGGGGCCGCTCCCGTCATGCTTCAGTGTTCAGTGATTCCTTATATAATCAACCAAATTTTCCCCACCAAAGGGGGGAGGGCCCAGACCCCCAGCCCCCCCCCCCCTCCCCCCCCCCCCCCTGGATCCGCCTATGCTTTCACAAACGTAAAACATGTACTGCTATATCATATATAAGAAGATTCTTCTAATCGGTAACAGTAACGATAAAAAAACATCACAATACATATGTTGCTAAACGTGTTTTACTAAGTATATTTGATTTAGAGTACGTAAATTCATTGTCTGTGGACGGGTACACCAACAAGGTCACCAATGCTATAGAAACGCGAGTTCTCAGCTGATATTTGTTTAAGGGAAATAATAAAAAGACAAAGAAATGTTGGTTATAATTGAGGCACGTTGCTGCATATTCAAGTTGACAAAAACCTGTTAACTACGTACGACTTGGCTTGAATATTACGGCGAGTAGAAATACAAGGACCTATATTTGTAATACATCCGGTTTAAGTTCTCAGACATGTATTAATTAATCTCTAAAAATTAACACAAGAATGTTTTGACTGAATGGTTCTAGCTGTCGTTTTAGTTCCTTTGTGTATTCGACATTTAAATATTTATTTTTCCGAACTTACAAGACCGAGAGAGATAAAGGGGGATTTTTTGTAATTTTGCCTCATACTATTATATCAATTTAACAGTGCTCTGATTTTGTGTTTATATGCCATTTTGTTTTTCTTTGTTGAAATAGTTATTTGCTTTTATTTATATTGATTAAGATAATAACACAATGTTGACTGCTATACTCCATTTTTTGACCATGTTACCTATTATGTCTGCTTGTTTTGCCCACACAGTGTTGCCAATATAACGGAATTCTATGCGATTGTAATACTAGTGAGAGACTAAGCTAGCTATAAAACCAGGTTTAATCCACCATTTTCTACAAGAGGAAATACATGTACGAAGTCAATAATGTGTCAGTATTTTTCCATTCATTTTGCTTTTGCCATTTGATAAATGACTTTCCGTTTAGAATTTTCCTTGGAGTTTGGTATTTTTGTTATTTTACCTTTTTTGTAGTACCTTTATCACATATTTGTACCCATTCATCTTCTAATCTGATTTTCTTCACAGGTACTGACCGAGTTTTATCAATGCGTTACCAAAGAATGTCTTTTTCAAGCAGAGAGGTTAATACGGTTGAACAGCACAGCTGTGATTGAAAACTATTTGCTGGTATGTGTTATGTATTTATACAAATCGGGTAGATTGTCCATACCATCTGCTAAAATATATGGTATAAATGGTAGAATTTGATTTACTTTAATAAAATGTGACCTACAATTAAAACAATCTTGTAAAGTACTTACGTACGTTATGAATATTGAACAAATCTGTATTTATTTTATTCTTTTGGCGTTTAACAAATTGAAACATTATGCAAAGCGTTAACATTTTATGATCAAGTTCATTGCAAATGGGCCATTTAGTTTTTTTTTATCAGTATTTTACTTAGCTTTCAAACAGTTTTCTATCATATAACAGTTTTAAACGTTGGGATGCAGCTTCTGTCAGAGTCTGATGGGTTTACAGAACAAAGAATAATGAGGAAAGATAAGAGACAAAAATGGGAGTAATAAGAAAAGAATAATAAAAAATGGGCCAAAAATATGAAGAATAGAAAAAAATTAATAGATTCTAGAGAAAATGGTCTAAGAAATAAAAAGTACAGAAATGAAGACCCTAATACAGACCGGGTTTTGTATAATTAAATTTGTGTACAAACTCATCAAGTATACTTAGCTCACATGCTCGTCATTACTTTATAAAACTTATCAGTGATGCTAGAATCGAAACAATAGGAACATCGAATCAAATACCAAGTTGAAAAGCATTACAAACCAAAAATTCCGGTAAGTTGTGACAAATACGGCTTAGTCAATATTTGCTTGGGGAATAAATACTTTGTGTTTAGAATAATTTAACATCTTATAAACAGCAAAGATACAGCTAGAAATGAACTTATGTTGTACTGTTACACCACTGTCCCGGGTTAGGGGAGGATTGGCGCTTTCAAACTAGTTTAACCCCGCCACATTCTGTATGTGCCTGTCCCATGTCAGGAGCCTGTAATCCAGTTGTTGTCGTTTGTTCCTTTGTAACGTATATGTTTTTCATTTATTATTTTGTACATAAGTTAGGCCGTTATTTTTTCTCGTTTGAATTATTTTACATTTGTCACTTCGGGGCCTTTTATAGCTGACTATGCGGTATGAGCATTGATCATTTTTGAACGGGCCGTACGGTGACCTATTGTTGTTAATTTCTGTGTCATTTGGTCTCTTGTGGAGAGTTGTCACATTGGCAATCATACCACATCTTCTTATTTTTATATATCAATGATATTTCACGTCACAATAACAGTGCTTGGCACTTGACACAAGTCAAGCGTCACTAATGGGTCTTTTGAAGACAAAACGTGCGTCTGGTGTACAAAATTATAAGCCTGGTATCTATGATGAGCTGTTTTCTATCTACACAATTAGGTTATCGGTGAATAAGATTTTTGTTTTCTCCTTTCTTAGTTTGGAACATTCCATATAGATGGACAGTTACATATTCTTGAGCCATCTTCAAATGGAGATCATTCAATCATTATTCCAGAAGTTCAGTTATTTGATTGGAATATACCAATTTCAGGTAAGTTCAACAAACTATAAACAGGGCAAATGGAGCACACGAATTTGTGTAACAATTTTTATTGTCTTTTTTGAAGAATTTCTGTTTTGTAAGTAAAATTATAAACTGTCACAATAAAAAATGTAATAAAATCAAAATATATCAATGCTTAATTAAAAAAGGGGAAATGAAATATAGCTAACATGTTTGAAATACATTACCAATTATAGATATGCACTTAAGTTTCATAATTGTTCAACTTTAAAAAATTGTCCTCACAGCTAATTATACAGAAAATAAAGTGACACAGAACAATGCGAGTAGGAAAAAGAGAGCAACAGGGAACTACCAGATAGAACTACTGATGGTGGTAGATTATAGTGCATATCAATTGTGAGTATACATATATATGAGAGTCCGGATTGGGGGATCCTTCGATTCCGCATTCTTTAAATTTTTAGGTCATTTTTCTTAAAATCGTTTACAATAAAGCTTAATATTCTGTAAAGTGTCTCATAAATGAGTTTACTTTTACATTTTCCTGTAATAAGAGGATTTCTGTATTCTGTACAACGTTTATTTCTGTAATGAGTATTTTATTATCCAATTATCTTATTTTCGACAGTTATTTTTTATTCTTTGCACCCAACGGATATCTATTCTTTACATTTGTTGAACATTTTTCTCTATTCATTATTTTTTCTGACCATTATTCTCTATTCTGATTACCCCGACCAGACTCTCATATATGTAGGTCTACATCACTGGAATGAAACAGAAGAGTAAAGAAGAAACGTTATTAGGAAAACTTACAAAACTTTACCCCGGACTCCCCATGTACACAATCATGGTGATGTTAATGATTTGCAAATTGAATTTCTAAAATATCATTTATTAATACATAAAACAGAAAATGCACATGACATTCTGTTGAAGTTTTGTTAAAGTGTATCACCCCATTTAGAAATATAGTACATTACAAGAGACATGCTGTGCATGGACTGATTTTGTGTCATTGATGGATACCCCATATCCTTTTTTTTTTTTTTTTTTTTTTTAATATATGGAAAATGCCTCTGGATATACACATTTGTAAATTCATTATCTCACAATCTTAAAGATACATACAGGTTTTAATTCTTACCACTGGATAAATTTATAAACTTAGATGACGTGCTGTACCGTAGTGGTGTAAATTAAAAAATAAAATGACAACTCTAAACTTAAAATCCGGAGTCATTTCGGCTGTTCCAAAACTTTATTCTATATCACATATATCTTGTGAATGGGCAAATGCAGTTATAAAACAGCGGACGCGAAACTTATGTGTGTGGTTCCCATTTGGCGTCGGCGGCTTCAATAACTGTTTAAAAACTCTGAGAAAATCCGCTATCGCAAAAAAAGTCTTAACAAAAATACTGAACTCCAAGGTAAATTAAAAAAAATGGTACAAAGTCCATAGAACTTGACAAAATCAAACGCTAGGACATATCAACCAACGGAACGAATTGAAAACAACTATCATATTCTTGACTTGGTAAAGGCATTTTTGGAAGAATATAGTGGGTTAAGCCTGGAATAAGAGTCTGGCGAGACAAAATCTCCATCTTAACAGTTTGTTACTTATATGTAGCAGTATAGTGTCGTAATTTCTATTTACAGTTGGCTGTCTGAGAAAAACAACGATGTAAATGCAGCATTGGATGCAATAAGACAATTTTACGCATACATGATGAAGGGGGTAAGTTAACCATAGTATAAGTCTTTGATAAAGCTAAACATTAAGTTGATAAAAAAAAATATTAAAAAAATTATTTACATCAATCTTATGAGCAATCAACTTACAATTTCTATCTTCAGAATTGTCTTTACAATATTAGAATACCATATAAACACCGTTATTTTGCTGGGTCTTCAAAGTGCTCCACAAAACTGTTATTAGCATCAATTTCATCAGTATTCAAAGCAAGGCTCCAGATTTATTGTGAAACTTCCTATTCTAGGGGCGGTGTGAATCAGATGTGGATAGTTCAAAATCTAAAGATATGTAGATTACATAAAATCTTAGTCTCTTTCCGTTTGGAATAATATTAAAACATTTGACTTTTCAATCCTTCACTCAAGTTTTCCCTATTCAAAACTAAAAGACAAATTAAAAGAATGATCAACTTAGATGCAAGTATCTTGTCTTAGGGAGGGATACATTTTATTGTGTAAAAAATCACTCTGATTTAAACAAAAAGTTCTCTGAATCTCACATTGCCAGATGCTTGATTTCTTGATTAACGACATGTTTTGTTGCTTGTGCTCACGTGTTTTTTTTTCAATAAACAATTGGCATTCTCATTTAAGCCAACTGTGCTCCTCTTATTGACGACTTGTTACTTTATTCATATAAGGCTGACTTTGTACGGGAGCTTCCTCATGAGGAAGAACGAAAAGAAAATAGCATATTATCCTTTAACCTCGCGTTCCGCTGTATAGATGATGTCCTGTCACCAAATAATTCAAAGTATGTTGACTATGTTGAACGCATCTATCCTATCGAACTTGAAATAATAAAGCATACAACCAATATAGGTGAGTCTGCCTCATATCTTGACTTACATCTCGACATTGACAATGAGGGTCGGTTGAGAACAAAACTTTACGACAAAGAGATAGATTTGAACTTTCCATTTCTATGAAGCATTTTAGTAGTGCCTGTTTATGGAGTATATATCTCCCAGTTGAAACGATTTACATGAGCTTGCATTTCATATCGTGATTTTCCTAATACAAGGTTGATGCTTACAAGGAAGCTATTGAACCAAGAGTTCCAAGTAGTGATGTTGAATGTCGAATGTGACCTATCGAATTTGACTGGCATTGTATTTACATAAGCAATACGAAGGATGCCACACGTTGAGGTGGATCTGTTTACCCTTCCGGAGTACCTGAAGTGTTGCTCAATCTTGAGTGTTCCGTGTTGTTTTTTGTTTACTGTTGTTTGTCTTTTTGTCGTTGTTCGTTTTTTGCCATGGCCTTGTGAGTGTTTTTTGACTTGTGAGTTTGAATGACCTTTAGGTATCTTTCATCACTCTTTAATAACAGACGAATTAAGATCTTTTTTTAACCCCCAACCTACTGATTCGTAGATTTGTATTAATTTAAAGATTTGTTATTCATAAATTAAAGAACAGATATTGACAATAGCTATTTATTTGTACACAATTTCATATTGTCACCTTTGTAATGATATATTTATATTCCTTTATCAGTTTTAAGCAAAATTACTGTTTCATTTTTGATAGCATTTTTATAAATATCTTAATTATGTGTTGCTTAACAAACCAAAGTACTAAATTGCTGAACATCGGATGACCGCAAGTTCTGGTGGATGGACACAGGCACTTGTCTCAGAACAAATAAAATATCTCTATACCTGAAAGTTAGGTTAAGGTACATGGATTTATTTTTTTTTTCTGAGACAAGTTCCTGTGTGGATGATGAATAATTGACAGAGAATTCAACCTCACCGTAATAATTATTATATTGTACTGATATAATCATGGGACAATCATTTGTTATCAGTATAATCTGGTTTGTTGTTATATATTATATTAATATTTGTACAACAGTTATATATATATATATATCAGCTCTTCTTAATAACTCTACCGGCAAATTTTTATCCATTTATACCATCATTCTATTCTACTATTCTAATGATAGTGCAGTGCAAGTGCATGGTGGGCACTCTTTTGTAATAATTCGTTTTTCTAATAGGTTGGATTTGAGTAGGCATTCATATTTCTTCCGCTAATGAATATGTATTGATGAAATTAATATATAACAAGCGATAAGAGATATTCATCCGCAAACACAACTTTTCGGTACGTGTGCATATATATTAATGAGTTTTTACTTATATATATATATATATATATATTTCTCACGACAAAACATTTTCATATTATTTATTTATGTTCTTAAAAAATATTTTCATTAGTATTCATTGAAGAAATGAATTTATAACAAGCGACAAAGAAAGTTATTTTGCACTCGATAATATTCCCGTATTTATACGAAATACGTTCGGTTATCAGCCAAAAACGGAAGTCACGTGGGTAGAAATGTCTGCGGGAACATAACACCGGAATGCCCTTAAGGTCACCCGCTGTATAACGTATGAACTCCAAGGTAAATTCAAAAATGTTATATGGACACCATCACGAATTGGTTGATCTATACGGTGTGTCTGTGTCTAAACAAACTAATGACATTTTTACCACGTCTTAGTTTGTGGTTTAACATCTATGTCGTCTGTTATACCGACTGTGAATTTGCATTGCTAGACGACGTGTCTCGGCATTTTGTACATCCAACATTCATGTATTTATTTTTGATGTGTCTGTTATGGTTTCGGTTGCATAATGTGTTGTGTCTTATCGTTAGTAGTCCAAATAATTATAAAATTGCCTTTCAATACCATTATTGTCATGAAAATTGTTTGGACTGGTATTGTGAAAATACTTGTATAAAGTTCGAGATTGCATGTTCGTTACGTAAGTGCGTCACTGTTTGTGATGTCCTGTGGTGTCTGTCGTTGATAGGAGATGATCGTTGTTGTTCTGCGGTTTGCAGGTTGTGGCGACTATTCTATTATTTGTTGGTGCGTTTCTCTGTGATGAGTGTTCTTGCGTGTGTTTGTGCTGTATTTCTGTCACGTAGTGTTGTAATTTTAGCGATATTTTTTAACATTGTCATATAAGCGGGAGGTTTGGCTAGCCATACAACCAGGTTCAACCCACATTTTTTTCTTAAAATGTCCTGTGCCAAGTCAGGAATATGGCAGTTGTTATCAAATGGTTCGTTTCTATGTATGTTGGCGTTTGTTTTTGTTGCACTTCAAGGTTCCTGTTGTTCCTTTATTTTCCTCTTATAGTCCCTTTGGTTCCCTCAGTTTTAGTTTGTAACCCGGATTTGTTTTTTTCTCAATCGATTTATGACTTTTGAACACCAGTATACTACTGTTGCCTTTACTTATAGTCCATAAAAACTGACAAAATCAAAAGATAGACTATGTCAACAAACAGAATGAATTGAAACCAACTGTCATATTCCTGACTTTGTACAGGCATTTTCTTAAGAAATTGACGGGTTAAACCAAATCAGACTTTCATTGTAATTCAAAGTTTATAATAAATGCTGTTTGATCATTTTGATTCAATGGAAACGTATTTACTAGTAATTCAAGTTATAATACTAGTATGATTTATTTCTTTAATGGGAAGCTCTGCTTTTGTAGATTGATCTTCGATATAAGAATATTCCAGGCGTTTCCTTCACAATGGACATTAAAACTGCAGGACTCCATATTTTACAGGTATAATTTATTATGTCAATATATCATTCTCATCAACATAATTGATATTTGATGTTAAGCAACTTAAAAAATAGCCTTCGAACATTCTTTTAACATACATGTACACATGGCCTTCGATTAATGTATAATATAGACGTATGTTAAGTGGGTGCATGAATGTCGTTAACTTATAGGCTTTTGAAAAAAAATGTAACTCGCCTATTTATTCCACTTCGTTTCAACAGTGGCGGATATTTGTTTAGTTGGCAATCATATCACATCTCCTTATTTTTATATTTTTGTCACTGCATGAACTCTTGCTTCCTCAATCAATTACAACTGACCACCACAAAACAACCGACAGTGCTGAAAGTGGTGTTTAAACACAGAAGATCGATCAATCAATCTTAATGCATTATGTAATGTTTTTAAGGATGCTGCTTATGCTCCATTCACCGAGAACAACACGGAATGCCAGTCGTCATCTCGATGTTTATTAGATTCCGGCATAACGCTAGCGGCCTTTAAGGACTGGATTCATACAACAGGACAAGGAATACCTCCACATGATCATGCGATGCTTTTTACTAGGTATGATTGTTTTAATGAAAAATGATTATGAATAATTTTATTCAACGAAGATGTTTTCATTTATAAAAGTTTTAGTTCATCAAAGACATTTTATCGGATAAGTTGGCAAGTGTACTTCTTAGTGGTTTTTTACTCCGAAGACACATACCAGAGATTTTATAATTAGATGGAAAGAACTTTTGAAATTGTTCTGGTTATTATAATTATTATTTTTTTCTACTGTCGATTGTTTTTTTTTTCATTTACGTTTCTGAAAATTTCGATAAGATATTTAGTATATAATATCAAACTTTATTCTGCTTTTATTTTAAAGGTGTACGGAAATTCTATCGTTCTTTAAATAATTGCATTCTAATGTCTTTCAAATTCGTTTGCAACTTTGTTCGAATCAAAGTGATCAGATATGACATATTGTACTTTTATAACCAAAAGTCAAAAATAAATTTTAGACATAACTATGTCAAAGAGAATAAAAAGATGAATAGACCGGCACCAGTCTACCAAGCATTTAACACAAAACAGTGAATTAAGCAACACGAACGAAAACTACAAATTCGAAGCTAAACGTAGGTGCTCTATGAAAAGGCAGGTTCAGATTGGGCTTATGAGAATTATTTCTTAACTAAGCTTAGGTATCAAAATATGAAAGCTGTTGTTGAAGATAAGTAAATAAGACAGAACACCCGACATGTTTCGTAACAAACATTGCCAAATAACGACCTGTCTGTTCAGGATATAAGAATATATCTGTTGTCTGAGAGTTAAAATATATCTTTTCATATGTCAAACAATAAAGGTTAACAGAAAAATAGTCTTGTCGCATCTTCACTTTTTTTTATAAACGTGATTTGATTTCATTGGGATACGATTAATAGTACCAGTTTTTCGGCATCACATGCGCAACTATTTGATAATTCAAAACTTATCAAAAATGACGAGCTTATAATTCAAAATTGACAAGAAGCATAGCCAAAATAGGGCAAGAAATCAAAGGCGGGAGATATATTTCTGAATTTGAAATAATGGTCAATGCTTCAGATATTCTATCTATGCTTATATTTTATATTCAGACATGACATTACTTTGCTGAACAGCAGTAACGCTACAGGTAAGAACCTATAACAATTGTATTGCTCAAAAACTTAACAAGTAACTCGGGAAATAATTTAAACGTTAATGTATTGAAATTGAGAATAATAAGAATTAGGGTTAGGAAACACATTTTTCCTTTCCATCCGTTTTTATGGGTACCTATTTCTTTTAACAACGCTATATTGCACCTTCATTCCATGTTCAATATGATAATAGACCATTGCAAGCAATTTGTGGACAAGGGACCTGTGTTATAATCAGATTTAAGTGAGCATTGTATAGAAAGGCTGTTCATATTGTTTTAGGCTATGCTTATCTTGGAGCAATGTGTACAGATCAAAGTGTTTCTATAGTAGAGGAAGATTTCAACTTTATATCACAAACAATTGCTGCTCATGAGCTAGCACATAGGTAAATATGATGCAAAGGATTTGTGATAATGTTGGATATATACTGCATGGATCGCCATACATCAGTCATAATTATATAATTTAGTATAAAAGTTATTGCATTATTGTATGCAAAGACGTCTGTACCATTGTTTTCAAAACAGTGTTTTAAGCAATCAGTGGATAAAGATACCATAGATATTCAAACTCGTTTGGTAAAAAAAAAAAACAAAACACAAAAAGTAATTTTGTGCAGTGTTTTCCTCATTCTAGCAAACGATGTGAAGTGGATATGTATTTTGCTGCGAAAGTGTCAATGATAGGTATAATAAGCAACACGACGACATTTGGAGCAGAATCTGCTCATCATTCCGGAGCACCTGATATCCTCCCCGTCTTATGGCGGGCTTCGTTTTGCTCAGTATTTACTTAATGAGATTAAATGCGTCTCATGACTGTGGTTATGTTTAATAACATGAAGAAAACACTACATGAAAACATTTGCAGCATCATAGGCCTAAACCAAATGTGAATCAATAAACACATGGCGTTGATTTAAAATAAAATGAAAACAACACTTTATATATTTCAACCGTCCAAGGCACTTTTCTGGATTCACATTCATCAGGAACGGTCAAAGCCGAATATTAGAGAAAAACAACGAATAAGAAACAGTTACACAAATACCGCTTGTCAAAAAATGCATATTATTTGGTGTGAACGAGATTTGGTCGCACTGTTTGTTATAAACATGATCTTCATATATCTAACAGAAATATATTTTGCAACTTATATTCATGTGACATGTTTGTTTGCAAAATTGAATGATGTATGAATATATTTAGAATAAATAGTAGTTTGATACACGAGTAACATATCTAAAATTTTCACTCGAATCAATTCAATGAATTGATTTAATATGCACCAAATGCGTAAAACTAAAATTTATTTATTGTCAACAGTTTCGAAATCACATATTGGAAATCTAAAACCATAGAACGTAAAATGCAGTAAACGTATTTTTACATGACATCGATACTACTACTATAAAGAGTTACGAATGGTAAAATTGGAGTCATCGCTTTGAAAGTTTTACGGACGCCATAATGAGTTTGTTGACTATTAAGGAATATTTGTGACACAGATTTCCAATTGTCGTAACCACAATCCCGGGCGCTTTTCCTCGATTGTGACATTACTGAATGAGACTTATGACCGACTTTGTACTTACCATGAGCAATACGACGGTTACCACACGTAGAAAAGGATCCGCTTACCTTTCAGAGCATCCGAGATCGACCGTTTTTTAGCGGAATATTTGTTGATCAATCTTTAGTTTTCTATGAAGTGTTTAATTGGACGTTGTCTTTTCGAATTTTTTCGCCAAGGTGTTGTCAGTTTCTCATGGACTTAAAAGTTATTAATTCCCCTTGGTATATTTTTCACCTCTTGTTGAGCCTTATGCATTTGGATGATAAACCTAGAGGAATTTAAAAAAATATCTTTTTTTAAAAACTGAAATTTTCTTAAAAAGTATTATCAAAATATCAAAACCAGTACAACATTTCTGACACCGAGATAAATACCCACGGAGACTTATAGTCTACAGCACTGCCATCGACCACGTAGTTAAAGTACAAATTTATTAGATGATCCAGTTAAAAAAATGCGATAACTTCAGTTCACGTCAGTGTGGCTTGAATTCAGATTGTTGAAGTATGAAGGTATCAAACAGGCAGTCGAATATACTTTAAAAGTTGTCAACGCAAAATCAACTAAAAGAAAAACCAATACACAAAAGATGCATATAGCAAAATTATATTATTTCAAAAATAGATTTAAAACGATTGCCGAAATAAGTATAGAACGGAACAACAGTGTTAACTGTTGAATAACGTGAGAGTTGTCACTAGCATGACTTGTGGCGCATCTTTAATCTTCTGTGTAATGTAAAAAATATCAATTCTTGCTGTTTGTCTGTTCTGTTTTTTTCCCTTTTGGCAATGGCGTTGTCTACCTGCAATAATGATTTTTGATAGCTCCTGAATATCGTTCTATATTCTTCTGTTTTCAAATATCTTATATAAACTTAACGTCTATTCAAACAATATGCACAACATACATATTAAAAAAAAAAAAAAAAGATTACACAAAATATTCACAAAAATTGTAAATGGACATTGTGTATTAGGTAATAATTTACATATTTCTAAGCAATACACTCGATGCTATTGCAGTTTACGTGCAGTCCATGATGAGCTTGATAATACTTGTCTGTTAGCAAGTCATAACATTATGGCTGCTGTCAGTCAAGCCATCAGCGGATCCACGTCGACCAATCCATGGAAATTTTCATCTTGTAGCGGACAAGAAATAGATACCCGAATAAATGAGATTGAAAGGTAAGTATCTTACATATTATTCAATTATACAAATTGTTAGATAAATCATATCTCTCTGTATTTGATGGAAGTCACGTTGTATGTTCATGTTTTATATCAATAATAGTATCTGTATACATTGTTGTATACTTTTGTAAATACTTGTGTTTATTATTGATTTTTTTCTGTGCGTGATTTGTATCTGTACTGGTGTGTATTATCATTAGGACCAAACAATATGGAGATTGAATACACAATCATATAGCGTCTTATCGAAAAAAGGCACACTGTTCAAAGTATCAAGTTTACTCAAATTTCATACCGTATTTCATGCATTCCAAATTTATGACGACACACTCGACCTCGGATGAGTCGAACCTCGGATAAGTCGAACACTTTGGTCCTATCCCTTCGACTTCGAGGTTCTACTGTACATCGAACTGGGTCGGATGCGACTGTCGACAATTAATGTATCTTCAGTGATGCTTGAGGTCAGAATACTTGAAAATTTCAAAACCTAATTCAGACAATGAAGTCTTAAGGGCGCTACCATTTGATTTTCATGGGGGTGGGGGGTGGGGGGGGGGGGGGATGGGGGGCTAGGATAAAATTTGAAAAAAAGGCAGGACAGGAGTTTTAAGTTAAAAAAAGGCCAATTTATGTAAAAAACAGTCAGGTTAAACTAATAAAAAAAAAAAAGGCAGGACCGAATAGAGTGAAAAATTAAAAGGCAGGACAACATTTTTCATCCTAGCCCCTCTTAAAAATCAAATGGTAGCTCCCTAATAAAATCAACTAGGACCAGACGTTAAGCCAAACCTGAAAAAGACACCAGTGCTATGAATGAGGGAGATAGTTTCTTAATTCAACATGATTTTAGCGCCATCTAACTGAAGGATAAAAAAACAAAAAACTTGTCGACCTGACGTCGGAATAATCTTTCTGAAAATTCCGATCAAGGATTATCATAACTTTTTTAATAATGCCTGGTCATATTTGCAAGAAATCAACATGTTATGCTGATAAATAGGAAGGACGTCAAGCATTATTTGTATCGTCTAATAAATATGTATGGCAGAAATAAGTATGATAGACTAAAACAAACCATAGTTACGTATATTTATAAAAATAAATGACATTAGAAACCTCCTTTTTTATGTAACACGAGTTGATATGGTAAAGAAAATGTAAAATATAAAGGGAAATGTAGCAGTATACGTCAAAAGAGACAGACAGCAACCAAAAAAAAGAATCTAGGTGTTAAATTTCTTCAACATTTGACACTTGTGAATACAATACATCAAGCTGTAAATAATCCTAATATAAGCTTTCTTTAATGATAAACATATTTTCATATAGATAGAAAAATAATTTAACAAAAATTATAAATTTGGAAGGGCACATGAACTTGTGGCATGATTATTTCAGGTTTTTCATATCATATATTTACCCGTTAAATCTCAATCTGTGGACTGTTCACTAGAGAATGTATAAAACAATGAACACAATGCATAAAAATAGAAAAAAAAATAAAAAAAATATATACTAGTACCAATAGATGCTAACAATGTGAACTTTAGGTACTTAACATACTGCTACAAAATTTTACCCTCTTTATGTACCATAATCCTAGGTTCACCGATCAAACTAAATTGCTTTTTCAGTGTTAGTATTGTGTTAGAGCAATCAATACTGACTGATTCGGCCCTTGCTAGCTTTATCTATTAGATACTTTAGAGGGACTACAGTATATTACCGATATTCAAATATACTCAATCCATTTGATAAGTACGAACGAAGAGGGGAAACACACCTAATTGATTCTTTTAAACGGGGCGAGATTTGATGTATCGACAGGGTAAAAGTATACTGCTATGCATTCATTGCAAAATGTTTTTCTCTGACTGTTAATGACATTTTTACACTAAATCCATTGGATGTTGAATGTGTACTGATTGATATCTAAGTCTCTGATGCATGATATTTTTACTAGTTGTTATTGGCTTTGAACTATCTGCCAGTAACTGCGAGTACTCTAAGATCTGTACTTAATCTCTTTTGTTGTTGTGGGGATGTATAAATACCCTATCACATCCGAACTGTGTTTTTGTTAGATGTTTTTCTTCTTTGTATAGATCTGATAAGTTAAGCCCTTTTCACCTAATTTTCATAGTATGTTTTATGTACTGTGACACCACTGTCCAAGGTAGGGGAAGGTTTTAGCGCCAACTAACTTGTAAAACCCCGCCACATACGTATATGCCTGTAATTCAGTGGTTGTCATTTGTTGCTGTATATCATATTTGTTTTTCGTTCATTGTTTTGTACATAAATCAGGCCATTCGTTTTCTCGTTTGAATGGTTTTACATTTATCTTTTCGGAGCATTTTGTAGCTGACTATGCGGTTTTGGTTTTGCTAATTGTTGAATTCGCATGGTGACCTAAAGTTGTAAAATGCTATGTCATTTGGTCACTGGTGGAGATGTGTTTCATTGGCAATCATCCCCATCTTTAATTTTTTATATTACTCGCCATTTAAGTTACTGTAAATAACAAGTAAAGCCAATGGTATACTAAGGTATTTATTAATTACTTTACTCTTTTATATTTCAGTTCTGGCAACAACTGTTTATTGACAAAAGTTTCCAACAATCATAACAGTCTGAATTCATATTTAACGCAGTCGATTGGCCAATCATATACTGCTGATCAGCAATGTCAAATGGCATTTGGTGACTCATCTTTTGTTTGCAGGGTAAACCTTTACAAAATAGTTATCACAATAGCAACCGATGTAAAGTTATATGCAGCAAGATCAGTTCTTATTATAGACAAAAGAGGCAAATATACTGAGGGAACATCCAATACTCATAAGTCGAAGAAAAACTGACAAAGCAATGGCAAAAAACGAAAAACGACGAATAGACGAACAAATCAACGAAACACTACATAGAAAACGCATGATTGATATACACGAACCCTACCAAAACAAAAAGCTGCTCAGAAAAGGTATGCAGTTCCTGCTGCACAGTCAGCATCCGTCAGGTTGCTCAAGCATAGGAAGGAGGTAGATTATTTGTTGGAATTGTCCGTTTTAGGCTTTCCAGGAAGTATAGAACCACGTCCGACCAATATAGAGACATTTAACCAATAACTGCTTGTTAACAAGAAGAACTGAAGAATATCACAGAGAGTCGTAGAATGATGTTTTATTTTTGTCCTATCCAACATTAGTTGTTTTTTAAGCTATTTCCTAAAATTATAGCCGTTTTCATGACAATATCAATATAAATAAGAAGATGTGGTATGAGTGCCAATGAGACAACTCTCCATCCAAGTCACAATGTGTAAAAAGTAATCAATTATAGGTCAAAGTACGGCCTTCAAAATGGAGCCTTGGATCACACCGAACAGCAAGCTATAAAGGGCCCCAAAATGACTAATGTGAAACAAAACGCAGGAAAACCAACGGTCTAATCTATTTAAAAAAAAAACGAGAAACGAGAAACACAGTTTATGAACCACACCAACAAACGACAACAACTGAACAACAGGCTCCTGACTTAGGACAGGTACATACAAATGTATGTATTTCTTAAATTCAGTCTTATATATCGGAAAAAAATTGTTGTCTTGTGTAATTGCACATATTTGTTGTCTGTTAAACTTTATCCTTAACTTGAATATGATTCATAGCAAAACCTATTACCAGCAGTTTAATATTTCATGATTATGGCAAACCTCAACCTCAATTTAATATGAAATTATTCGTTTCTTCTTTGCATTGTTCAAAATGATAATTGTTGATAAAAATAAATAATTTAAAATACTACATGTATGAGTAAATTCACAGAATCTTGCACGTATTATACCTTCTATATTTGAAATTTTGACAACCTGAATATTACAGCAAAAGGGGACTCAAAACATTCTGGATTAACCGTTTAACAACATCGCAACGAGTGAAAAACAACTTTCATATATTCTTGACTTGATACAGGCATTCCCCAAAATAAATAGTAAGGTTAAACCTGGTTTTATAGCTGGCTATTCCCCCACACACTTGTATGAAAGTCGTTAATGATATGAAGAATTTCTAATTTTTTTTTCTATAAACAAGATCTAATTGTGTATACTTTTAAAAAGGAAACTTAGAAAAAATCTTTTAATGTTATCTAGGTTTTCTGGTTCAAATATAAAATAATTAAAAGCAAAGGAATAAGTATTTACCAATTACACAGGAATTGATTGTTGTGATATACAATGTAGATAGAAAATTACATACAATCGATGAAATAATTAAGCGAACATCATTTGTTTTGGGGATTTAACATTTATTATTTGTCTATGTTTTGACATTTTTCTTTCTAGTTACCATATGTAAATGCTGGTAGTTTTCAAACCGCATGTACAGGTTTGTGGTGTGTGAATCCAAATTTAGCAAATCAGTGTTCCTTGATTTTACCAGCTGAGCGGACGTCTTGCGGAAATGGAAAGGTATTGTGGTTATCATGACTTTTTTTCCAATGCATGAGCTTATGTAGACGGATTCATACGTTTATATGCTACTTAACATAGTGTGGACATAGTTTCAGATTGTAATTTTTCGGCAAATAAACAGTACGCACAGAATACAATTCAATAACTTTTCATTATAAGAAACGTTGTTTTGGTTGTATGCTTTACATTAGCGTCAGTCACTAAAATTCTATTGACATATCTGCTGCTAAATGATGGAATTCATATTCGCATCCAAATACATCAAGTAAGTCCTTTGAAAATTGAAAATATACACACAGAAATATAAATTAATTTAGTTTCATTTACACAGCATTCAGACAACATATCCAAAAAAAGAAATAAACAAACAAACAAACACTGTAAAAAATGGTTTAATTTGTACAGAAATTGCTATTTTACTTTTTCATAAAAAGCAGAATATATACTTCCAAAAATAACGGAAGAACCTTAGGGTAACTAATGCAGTAAGTATCGGGCATCAATTGTGAAAGGTGATCGAATATAATCAAGGCTAGGGTATCACAAGTTTCCCAGAAATATCTTGACCTAACAATATATCAATAGAATGCATTATTCCAACGCATATTACAAAATGTATTAAATGTATGACTGATAAGATTTATACTTGTTGCTCTCAAAATTGTTATATATTTAGATCGTTCAACTTATTCAGTACAAGCGTGTGTATTACACTTTTTTAACATTTGAGCCTACATATTCATTAACATGTTTTTATATGTTTGGTCTCGAACAGTGGTGTGAAGGCTATCAGTGTGTCACTTCGTCAAATGCCCCCGCACTGACAGGTAAGATGAATTTATATTAATGCAAACATATCAGTACTATTGTGTATTTCTTGTTAATGGGGATTTGCTATCTTTTGAGGGGAACTCAAAACGGTCTCGTGCACAATGACGATTCGATATACAATTGGCAATATTGCTCTCGTCTATTTTGAGGTTTAAAGAAAGTAGCGGATAAAGTACATCTTTTTAAGATAATTAGAGAAACTATGCATTGGTTTTACTTTTAAATTTTATTTCAATTATTAAAATACTTTTGGTTAATATGTTTTTTGTTTTGTTTTGTTTTGTTTTGCTTTTTCCTCCCTTTTTTGGGGGGAGGGGGTCTCATTACAATAAAGTTAGATAGTTTATAAGGTCTTTATATATATATATATATATATATATATATATATATATCTGTTTGTCTTTTTATTTTTGGCCATGGCGTTGTCAGTTTGTTTTCGATCTATGAGTTTGACTGTCCCTCTGGTATCTTTCGTCCCTCTTTTACACATATACGCGTTTCTCAACTTTGTGATTCTTAAATCTGAATAAGTTACACACATCATGAGTGACATTTGGTTTTAGTTAATTATATGATCTTTTTGGTTTGATCAGCTATTCATCATCTGGTGCGATAAAATTGGTACCGTCAATGTTATAAGAAAATTCGATAAATAAGTTAGACTGAGAATAGATAGGATATGAGATATATGGGTAAATTACAACAGTTATTTACCAATGTTAAAATCTCAAAAATCCATTAAGCATATACAAATCAAGATAAAACAAAACAGAAATAAGAAACTCATTGCGTGGAAATCGCATGAACTCGAGCAAACGGAGCAAAACTGGGTGCATACATATGTAATTGTTTATGTATTACTATGTGACTCAGAACATATCAACCAATGTGGCACAGCAACAATAAATCTATGAGAAAGAGTCTCCAATATCAAGTTGGTGATATATCCTCAATAAAAAAAGTTTTGTATGATGAATCATCTTGTTCTGGTTTGACGTATAATGCGATAACGTAAACGTTAAACACTTAATAAGATGTACTACCAATGGACATAATCAATCATGAATTTATACTTTTAAAATGAAAAGATGTGGAATGATTATGAGACAACTCTCCACCATAGACCAAATGCCGTAGAAGTTAACAATTATAGGTGAACGTACGACCTTCAACAATGGCCTAATTTTGTACAAAACAGTAAACGAAAAAACAAATATGATTAACAGCAACAAACGACAACAACTGAATAACATGCTACTGACTTTGGACAGACACATACATAATGTGGCAGTATCAAACATATAGTTTACATTCCCAAAGTTTGTCAAACAGGCATGAAGCGTTCTTTCTCTCAATTCTTTAGAATTCTTTTATTGTCTTTTTTGTTTCTTTTTAACCATTTTTAAACGTGAAACGGTTCATTTTCTATAACACTTTAGATTCATCAAATAAAAATGACATCCTTACAAACATGTCTTTTTGGTCCACTTCGAAATACAAAAGTTCTACAAATCCCTTTTACAATCGAAATAATTCTTTCATACTAACGCTCGTTTTAAAGAAATTGAAAAGTATAATCCCTAGTCTTGTTAATTTAAAAGTAGGACATGGCATAAACGATTTATTCTTAACATAATTGCTCAATTTATCAACGCGTAATTTTAGATATGTGAATCCCTGCTTAATCATGTCAATGTCTGAAAAGCAGAAATAGAATATAAAAAAAAGATAAGATAAATGCATTTATTACATTGTTTGCAATGAATTACCGTCATTTTCCAGTGAAATAAAAACCAATAATTTCACATGTGAAATTAAATCGATAATTTCACTCCTCTGACGTCATAGAACAATAGGTGTTGTCAAGACGTTGTCGATGACGTTACATCAAAACAAACTGAATGCGTAGAAAAACTTATAGTCCCTTGCATTTTTTATTTTATTTCCATTAAAAAGCTCATTGTCAATGTAATAAAAAGAATATTAAACTAGTGACCAAACAACACTATACAATTATGGCCCGCTGAGGAGGTGAATATCCAAAATTGTCAACCCGAATAAGGGTTATTCCACGAGGGCTTGGATATTCACAGACTCAATGGGCCAAAATTGTTTTATTGTAACGAACACACAATTAAGTGTAAAATATTGTCATACGGGAGGAAATAAAAAGATTGTTAAAATACTTACGTTAGAAAATTATTTTGTGTCTAAAAATTTCTGGTATGTTCGCCAAAGGTAGACTATTTCTGTAAAACATTGATGGACCTGAAGAGGACTGTTTACGAGAGATATCATCGGAACTAGATGATTTTCCAGCCTTGTTTGATCTTGTTTCCTTGTTACTTGATGGGCTTCTTACCTGGCCGTTGCCATTTTGTCAATGACGTCATTTTTTATCGGAGATAACTCGTGCAAAACCAAGGGGCTGAAAAAGTCATTCACCGGGGAATAATAGTTCTGTTCGATGGAGGGTTCAACTTGTCGTTGTTAGTCACCACTCCTGCCAATTTTTGGAAAAAACATCGAAATTAAAATATGACACGTAATTCCGTATTAGACAATCAAATAATTATTATATAATGTAAGGTATTATAATGATAATTAACTCAAGAGCTACGCGCATTCGTGAATAAATGTGTTGTTCATTCACTCGTTGAATATTTTTCTATAAATGCATATATTTTTGAAAATTAAAACTGTCGTTTAGCAATATCTTATGTATTTTCAGTATTCGTCTTACAGTGACTAATACTATCATATATTCATATATGTTTTTATTCTTGTTGTCTCCTTGTGCCGAAGGTATTTGAAATATACAATAATTTCAGCATTAAAATTGTAAATTCTGTTTTTGTCATCGAGACTTGATGTATGCAGCATGACAAATATATTTCACTTCAAAGTATCTTAATTAAATTCGTGCCAATTCCGGAAAAATATCATTTAAACGTTGAAAAATTTGAAACTGCCTTTTCCTAACTTTCAACAGGAGCTGAAACAATTACCAAAAAATGTTTAAACAAATTTAAATGGCGCTATACACTAACACTAATACGACTAATAGTCGAGAGTTTACAGGTGAGACATTTAAATAAGGGTCATCTCAAAAGTATTAATTTAATCAATGATTAACTCGGCGCACCAATGGCTTTTCTAACTTTGCTTCCAATGAATATGAACGTTTTGTGAGTGAAGGCCTTTCCGTCTTTACTAACATGATTATAAGTAGATTTGTTGGGAGCACGTGATTAGTCGGTTAATTGGAAGCATCCAATACTTCATATATTTGGTTTATTGATTGATTTAAATATTGCATACTTTCTAATTGAACGAATTTCGCAATCATTAATCCATCGATTAGCTTGGAATGTTTGCTTGATTAAATGATGTATTGATTGACAGTAACGTAAAGAAACGGATATTTCATATTGGACAATTCATTGATTGATTGTTACTGTGACGTTCAGTGACAAATATTTAACGAAAATGGTTTGCTCTTGGAATGGTTAATGCACCGTCCTCTAAATAGATGGGCAGTCCGGGTAAAAAATCAGCGATTAAAACAAACATGGGTTCGGGTTCCTAAGAACATGCGGAACAAAAGGCCTATATCTCGTGTCCGGATCAGTGCAACATGTAAAAATAAGAAGATGCGGTATGATTGACAATGAAACAGTTCTCCACCAGAGACCAAACGACATAGAAGTTTACAATCCTGTGTCACCCTACTGCCTTCAACAATGAGCAAAACCCATACCGCAAATTCAGCTATAACGTGTGTATTTATCAACCAAGCAATCAACCAAGCAAGCAACCACAAAGCACTCTTAATTTAGAAACTATGGAATGACTATATCCAATTGTATGCTAAACAGCTTATATCTAAAACAATTACATGTTAGATATAGGTATTAATAGCAATGTTATGGAAGCTGTTTTTTGGAAATTTTGGGTCTTTAATGTTCTTCAACTTTGCTTTTATAAGGTATTTTTTTGATTCGAGCGTCACTGATGGGTCTATTGTAAACGAAACGCGCGTCTGTCGTACAGAGATCTCTATGATGAGTTTATTTACCATTAGTATACCGAGTAATTCAATAATGAAATTCAACCTTTTCAGATAAACCCTTATTTAAATATCTCAACTCTAGACTTCCGACTCTCCATTGTCAATTGTGATTTTTTTCTAACATGCCTATTTATATTCATGATATAGGTGCTGTGCATGTTCACTAAAGAATTAATATACAAATGAAAATAAAAACAAAACGAAAACAAACGCTCTACAGAGTACTAAACACATTTTCTGACTCCAAGTGTATGGTAAAATAAATTTTAAACGGAAATTCAATACATGTATTTCATGAACATGTTTAAATGATTTTGCAGCATGTTTTTATTAAATTCTTTCATTCATGTTTAGAAAATTGTGTATTTGTTGATCAGACAGGTGTACTTGTTCTGCAGCAAACTTGTGCCTCTCTTATCCTCCAGCAATCATACAGGTGCTATAACCCAACTATTTATCCACAATGCTGTAAATCCTGTTACAATATTGCTACAGGTGTATCAGGTAATGTTTAATTTTACTTATTTATTCTAAACCTTAATACATGCATTTTAAATAGCTTGCTACAAGAAAAGAATTTGTTGAACCTATCAATTTTTCTTCTTATTAAAAATTTGATATAGAATGTCTTTTTTTAAGGAAAAATTGATATCCGATTTCAAATATTTATCTTCATAACTGCTGAAAAGAATATATGACATTTTATAAATGCATACCTTTCAACGTTGTACACAAAGAGGCTTGCACACATATTTAAACTGCAATTTTGAAGTAAACGAGTGTACTTTTGTAGATTAATATTTGATGCAAACGTTCATCCCAAATACCTGTTTCTATTGTATATGATATTCTAAATGTTTTTTTGGCGAGGTTATTGTTGCTCAATATAAAGTGTAGATTTTGTTAGTGTTGTTTCTTTTCGTTTTTGTTTTATTGATATTTTTGTTTTATTTTAATATTTTATATTATGCAGGCTTCATTATAATGATTAAACGCAGATTGTTCACTTTTTTCTCTTTTGATCATACGGAATTGAAAACTTAACCTCTTGGGTCGGCTTCCAATAAAGAAAAAAAAACAAAATAAACAACACAAACTTAAAAAAATAAAACATACACACGCTATATATTTGAAATGGTTTTATTTAATCGACAGGTTGTGAATTTGGTGATAAATCTGACTGTTCAGCCATTACGAGTTATGGCTGTTATACTGGTAATAATGGAGAAAACTGCTGTAATACGTGTTCTCCGTATATCACAAATATCCCAGGTATGTTGAAAAGGACGAAAACACAAAATCTATGTTTTTTTTTAGAAAATATCAAATAAAAAATATTACAAAATTGTCATTGTTACCAATCACTTAGAAGGTCCATATTAAATATGTTATTGTCATGGATTAAAATGTCGCGGGATTGTCTGTTTTCATTGATAATGAGTTCTATGTAAGTCATGCTGCCAAAATAACCAGAAAGCGCAAACATAATTGAAATTAGCAGAAATGCATCCAGTCAAAAATCCAATAAATTTATTGATTTATCAAAAGCTTAAATTGTCATACCCACAAGCAAACAAACAACAGAAGAAACTTGGGTAAATGAATGAGTTGTTAACATTGACTAAGTAATGGATAGTCCTAATCCAAAAAAGGTTTTTAGATAGTCTCGCTATGTTTTCTGTTAATATTTTACAACGTCATTGTTCCATCTCTTTCAAGCAATACCGGTTTTGTTTGCCTCATTTTTTCATTTTTCATTCATTTCCCGATAAGGAGCGTTCTGTCCGAACTTCTTTTTGCATTCGATTGTAAGCGAAGCTCATACGTAAACGACGTTTTAAAAGGTATTAATATCTCCGCAGAAATGACGACATTAAACAGATAGTTTAAAAACCGTTTTGCTCGGTGTCAGAGAAACGAGCCTTTAAAGTTTTATGTATTAGGCTTTCTCGCACTTTTGTTCTTAGTTTAACTAAAATGAAGCTAAACTGTGTCGTGTACTCTGGAGTAGGAATTAGATGTGTTAGGTATAAGCACACAGATGTATTACCGAAATGAAAAACAAATGTAATCAGTTGTTATGTTGTTTATTCACACCATTCCCTTTAGTACCAATTCATAATTAGATACTATAGTATTTCACATATTAATCACACTTGAAGACAATTTCTTATCGTGGTTAATCATATATACGGCAGTCGTGCAGACTATTCGAGCTTACATAGACAATATTTTAGAATAATACCATTTACATTTCTAACTCGAATGTAAATATTGCAACAATTTAGACTGTTGTTGCATATCTAACACACTGTTCAATTAAGACCTTTGTTTTTTTAGATTGTAAATATGGTGATCGTTCAGACTGTTCTAATATAACAGCTGGCTCCCAGTGCTATGGTAATAATGGAAACATATGCTGCCAAACCTGCACACAGTACACAACCACAATATCAGGTATAGTTTACTCTCGAAAGGGCGTGCACAAGCAAGTGTTCGACGGTTGGGATCACCTTGAAATGAAATGCAAAATGTTCATTGTATACTTTGTTTCAACGTTATGAAGGACTAACCAATTATTTTTTATTAACAATCCCCTTACTGAAAACTCGATAAATTTTTAAACAACTCAAATGGAATGTATATAACTTATAATTTCCGATGTCACAAACTGAAAATTATATCTTCATTTCTCTGACATTTCGCAAGCTCTTTCAAATAAAAATTATCAGGTACTATTTTCTATTCATTCAAAGAATATATCTATATTAATAATGAACATCGATTTTAAAACTTAGTTTAAATATATTCTGTACGAAAATAATCATTAACAACATTGGTTGAATCCGAACCGCTTCTTTAAATTTTACGACAAGGTGTTTTAGAACTCACCCGAATCATATGTTACATTGTATAGATATCATGTTAAAATCATTGAACCATTTGCATTTTCCTGTTTATTGCAATATTGCTCCCTTTTTATGGCTCCTCACAGTTACTAACATATTTATGTTGTAGTCGATCTTCTGACGAGAAAATTGACAAGTTAATAAGGTAAAAGATATTATTAATCCTATGATGTCTGTTTTGATAGCGCATGCAATTTTGTCAATATAACGGAGATATAAACAACTGCCATACAAGTGTTTTAGCTTACTATTAAACCAGGTTTAACCAACCAGTTTCTTTGGAAAATGCATGTACCAAGTCAGGAATATGACAGTTATTTTGCATTTGTTCCTTTTGTTGATTTAGTCGAACGTTTGATTTTGCTTGGTGTCATTGACTTCCCTCTTCTTGACCTGCCCTTATAGTTTGGTATATTTGTTAATACATTTGTTTTCATATTGAAGATTGTGAGTATGGCGATAAGGCAAACAACTGTTATGTTAATTCCTGTACGACATATAGTGACACTGACCGAAACTTGTGTTGTTACACGTGCAACGGGATAACTCCATCTTCCTCAACACCAAGCCCAATCGACACAACGACAAATAAAACGACAGAACTACCAGGTAATAAAAAGATACAAAATTTGATGCGCAATGCTTTTTGATAGAATAGCCTTTACAGGTCAATCAGTGCCTACAGATTTGAAAGTCTCATACAAGTACAAAAATAAAAAATATAGACCAAAATGGCAGACAAAGAAATTATATAATACATGTATACTCATTGGTTATCATGTTAGAGTGGATGTAGAATATGAAATTATACAAACTGTGATTGCGGTTCTTGTGTCAAACAATGGGGTTTTAATTGCCTATTGTGCCTGATGATAATGGTCATGAAATAAGCGAAATATGCTTCTTCAACAATTGTTTAAAGACTTGAAATAAAACAATGAACACTAAAATATTGTTAACATATATAATTATATAACAAATTACATATAATTTTCTGTCTGTTATTTGTAGTATGGGTAATTCCGGTTGCCATTTCTGTGGGCTGCCTGCTTTTGCTAATTGTAATAATTGTTATTGTATGCTGTATACGAATGTCTAGACGATCTCATAGTGAACCATTAAAGGTATGTCAACTAACTGTAATGAAATAAATAATTTTAAATCAAGAAGTAAGAAGAAAATAGTTGAGGCATTTTAACTGCCAATCTTTGCAGTTAATACCTAGCTGCAAACGACATAACTTCAAAATTGACGGATTGTATGGCAGTGCTAATATGATAATAAAAACACAAATATTGGGTTAATGGCTTTTATACATTTCAAATACATTATTTAATTATTTTATAAAATCTATGTGAATCCATAGGAATACGAGCTGAAAACTGATGCAATCAGAATGATTCACATTCATGAAATTGACAACTTTGAAAAGTTAGAAAACACAAAAGTATATAAAATCACACATCACCGTACCCAATAACAAAATCAAAATTAAACAGACGGAAGTCAATAGCACTATTTTGTACACAATATTTGCTGTACAATTTATAGTATTACAAATATGGGGGGGGGGGGGGGGGGGGGGGTAGTGCTAGACAATGTTATGTAGGAAAATAATCATAATTTCATTGAAATTAGTCATCCGAGATGTTCAGAAATGAGGACAAGCGGTTAAATAGTAGCATTCTAGCAAACCATTCCTGAAAAAAAGATGATTGGAAAGCATATGGTAACCCATTCACGACTGCCATGAATGCAAGTTTTAAAAAGCTTACCATAAATGAGCCGGACATTTTAGGGACGTTTTTATGCATTGTCCAATAATTAGTTAGTTAAAAAATAAACTACCAAATAAACAATATACGGCATATATGTTTTAGTCAGAGTTGGTTTTTAAATCAAACCTATCAACTTTTATACGACCCTATTAAGTTCAGGACATATTGCATCATGATTTTAAGCAAACTTATTAAACTAGTATAACAAATTGATTATAAGTATCCAATGAGACCATACTATTAATTAGTTTGAACTGAGAATATGGCGCCCTTAAATAAAATGCTAGTTCTCCTTAAAGATAAATCACGCCGTACAAAACTCATGCTGAATACACTTAACCGTAGAAAACAGTTAGTCTAGGCCAATCACACCACATACAGAGGAAATACCGAACCGTACTGCACAGGAAAAAATAAAGAGTGATAAACCGTTTTGCTGTGTCAAGCCCTTTTGAACTAATGTTTACATGTTTTTTGTGTCGTTCCACCACTCTAACAGGTTCAGGACAGGGTTGAGCTCTCACAAATATGTTGAACCCCGCTTAATTCTGTCTATGCCGGTCACTAGTCAGGAGCCTGTTATTACGCTTTTGTCGCATGTTGATGTCTGTCATAATTTTTTTGCTATAAATCACGCCATCTATTGCTTATATTGTTGTCCATTTTCTCAGATCAGGGATTCGTATAGCTTAGTATATAGAATGGGTTGTGCAAATTGTTGAAGGTCACATGTTGACCTATAGTTGTTTACATCTACACTATATGATCTCTGGTGGATAGTTGTCTTATTGGCAATCATCTTTTTACATTTATTTTTGGAACAACACAATAGGTTCAAAATTACAGCCGAAGATTTAAATAAGATTATAAAATTAAAGTTTTGAATTAGAGGTTATACATGTACTTTAGACTGATTGATTATATGAATATATTAAATATCAACACACTAGACAAAAACAATTACAAATGCGAATGTATAGTGTTGTCAAGTGCAATATGTTATATGCAATTCAATTGATAATAGTCATCATATTGCTAAAACTAGAACGATAACATGTGTACGTTTGCAGTTGGTCATTTCTTGAGACATGACAAAATGATAGCCAAACTTAAGAACAGAACAACAGATACTGTGGATAATGTGTGCCGATAATTACAAATATTGAATGTTTTGATACAAAATTACTGAATTATTTCTGGTTTTTTATTTCATTTGGAAACTTTTGTTCTTTTCTTAAATTAAGTTCATTTGTCAATATTCTTTATGTTTTCAAACATAACCATTCATGTCATAATTGTATGGCTAATAAGAAACAAATTCCGTTTGTAAATATACAACAATTATTCGGCAATCAGACAATCAACAATCAGACCACACAAAAAATAATATAAGAGACTAAAGTTGGTTTCCAGTATCATCTAATGAAACTACAAAGAAACTGGTGAAGGAAAAGAGAGAGAGATAAAAAAAGAAATGTTTGCACAATATTGACCAATGCCTGAGATCACCCCAGTTTATGTTGGAGTTCGTGTTGCTCAATCTTTAGTTTTCTATGTTGTGTGTTGTAAAGTTTTGTTTGTCCTTCGGTCGTTTTCTTTTTTTTTGAGATGTCGTTGTCAGTTTACCTTCGACTTATGAGTTTGAATGTCCCTTTCATATAATTTGCCTTTCTTTTACCTGATACTCAAAACTAATATCTTACTGTTGAGATCTAGTCTGCAATCCAAATACTATTAAAAGTATTTTGAAGTTTGTTATTATGTTGTACTGTTACACCACTGTCATATGTTAGGGGGAATGGTTGGGGCCTTCAAACATGTTCATCCCAGCCGCATTCATTTAGTAAATAGCTTGTAGTTCAGTGGTTGTCGTTGGTTCATGTCTGTCATATTTGTTTTTCGTTATAATTTAGGTCGTTTGTTTTCTCAATTGTATTGTTTCATATTTTTCATGTCGGCATTTTTATAGCCGACTATACGTTATTTTTTTTTTTTGAAGCCGTACGGTTGCCTATAATTGCTTACATCAACTTCATTTTGAACTTTGGTGGATAGTTGTCTCATTGGCAATCATACCACATCTCCTTTTTTGTTTTTTTTAATATACCCGTTATAGTGTACAGTCCTAGTACAAACAATGTGAAATGACCATACAAAGAATAAGTATTAGACAAGTAATTGATTTTTTTAGCCACTGATATTTTTGTATTTTGATTATTTGGTGGCTATAGAATTAGGCACGTGTAAAACTGCATAAAAGGCTTCGTTGTCTTGTAGAATAAATCAATTAATTGATATAATTCCAGGCACCTCTCGATCATGTAGTACCTCATGACAAGATAAGGTATCAAAATAACAATGCCTTACAAGGTGGACCGTAAGTATAGTAATTAAGTTTCAAGTATCAGATCAACATTGAAATTTAAAAGTGTTAACGCCCTCGTCAGAAAATACCATCCGAAAGTAACCGAGTACATACCTACCATACCATTGTCAAGCCAAACACATATAATCTTAGGAAACGTGCTGTCAAAAACAACATATTTGTAAAAAGTGATTTTTATATACAGAAATTACTAATTGTACACCTAACCAAACAAAAACGTTTCAAGAAGAATGTATGGCAAAAGTATATAATTACACTGTTGAGCTAAATGAAAATCAAGGTATTCAATTTGATTCAATTCAATTCAGTTCAATATTTTATTGTCATTATATACACTTTAATTATAGTAATGACAAAAAATCACAAAAGGATGATAACATCATATACAATTACTCTAAAATGAATACAATTAGTTAAACATATAACTATTAAACAGTATTAAAAAAATTCCTCCCACCCTTAGTTCCATTGACTATTGTTTGAACGACATCATTGTTTGAATTTGACTTTAGAATGTGGTTTCAGTTTGTTTTCAGTTGATTTGTTTCATCCATATATTTAAAATTTAGGAAGTTCGTGATGATAATTTTCATATCTCTCAACAGGTCTTTTGATGTTCTTCATATCTTGCCAATTTAGGAAGAAATGTTGTTGTCTTCCTTTTTGTTGCACAGTACTAGCGTCTGATCCTTATGAGCCTAGTTAGGTTTTCCGATTTGTATTGAAAGATTGTTCATTCGGGTTAATTTTTAAAATAGAAATTGATTTATGTTAAATTATTTATTAGTTTCTGTTAAATTTTTACATCGAGCCTCAACTAAATCATTACCGATTTTGAAATGTTATCAGGGACAATTGAACATTCTATTTTGACATTTATCTCATTTCATACAAGATAATTATGGCATTTATAGTAAGTAAAATCACTTGAAACTATAGGTTTACCTTTAAAACAATGAAATATTAGCATTTATGTTAATTCTATTACAGTTTTGTTTACTTGAATGTAATGCTCGAAAAACACGAAACAAAAGTCAGATATGATTTTAAAACATTTCATATTGTATGTTCCTTCGTACTAAACGATGAATAGAGGTTTCGTATCAACGAAATCTGTTCCTGTGTAATTCAAGGTCTGGATTTGTGTCCTTTTGATTTACCTCACAAAAGGTTTCTGCTCATATCTCCTAATTAAGGATGTACTTAGGTCAGGTTAAGGAATTTTTGTCAGGTGTTCGGACTCCTTCGTTTTTTTCCTACGATACAGGGTAAAATATTTTGCCCCATTACATCCATTTTTTTTTCATATAAGACTTCAATAGCTCATCATAGGTCATTTACCAAAATTTAAGCAGATTCTAGATTTCTTTTCTTTTGATTTGAGACCAAAATAATACCAATGCAAATATAAGGTAAACGTCCGAGTCAGCCTTTTCCCTCCATTTTGTAAAAATTAGATATCTCGAAAAGGAGTTCCATAACCTATCAATATTTTAAACTTATTTTATTCATTAACTAATGCTCTTCTGACTTAGAGTATCAATTTTAAATTCTAGGTTTTTTTAATTTCATCTATGTACATCCTTAATACAAATTTATGCCCTTAAAAATGTAATAATAATGACAAAATTTCGATTTAGTCCTAATATGATATTTAAGATATTACAATCATTAAACGTATATTTTTCATTTTAAAGATCGTTTATGTAAGGACAGTAGACACATTAATTAGTATAAAATAGTCTGGTGCGGTAAACCACCGTAACAGATAAAAATGAATGTACACTGCTGCAACTGAGTATATGCAATTGTTAAGAACTCGTTTTATGAAATATTATCTAAAAAGAATTTCATTACTTTTAAAGTAGAAAGCTAACATATATAACTATGTTGGTATTTTTGTTCATTTAGAAGTAAACATCAGTCGCAACTAAGGAAACAGTCATCAAAGGGAGATATTCGTCCACCCCCAGTAAAGCGACAGGTCTCTAATGGTGCTTTTAAAACACAACCGTTGGCACGACCTACTTCTAAAGATGAATTTCCATCATCCCAAAGCAATCGCGGATTCAGCAGACCACCAACGGGGCGTCACGTTTCTAGGAGCAATATTTTACTGCCACAAAGATCAAACCGAGGTAGTATTCATTATAAACAGTATATTCAAGTTTAGGTTGGCGGAATTCTTTCATTGTAACAGAACGCAGTAGAACGTTTAAGAGGCTTTTCAAATGAAATTTACTTTTAATCTAAACCGAGCTCGCAAGAATGATCGCTAAAACAGCGAGTCAATTTTCAGTCATATCATTTGCATTAAATAGTGTTCGAAAATTCTGAGAACGGACTATCTAATTTCATTTTCAATATCTAGTAAATGTTATCTTACTGTATGACACAACAATTGTTGAAAAGAAAAGAACTGAACGTTTCTGATTTTAATTTTTGTTAAAAGGTACTAAATTTACAACATCAAAACATATTCTAGAAAACTTACACTCTTAACATTTCCCACACATTTCATGTTCGAATATATTTCTTTAATCAATTACGTTTATCATATATTGACATCGTTTTGACATGAAAAAGGATTTATAAACCACAACAGTCCGACCTTTACCGTTTTGCAGGCACATTTTAGACGAAAATGTGTGCAAATCCAAAACATGTCACTCAAAATTGGAAGAGCTTTTAGGTCCATAATAGCCCAAACATATAGCTATATATGGACAAGGAATTCGAGCTATGCATAGAAAGTAAAATCACAATAATACTGAACTCCGAGTAAAATTCAAAACAGAAAGTCCCTAATCAAATGGCAAACTCAAAAGATAAAACACATCAAGCGAATGGACAACAACTGTCACATCCCCGACCCGGCACAGGCATTTTCAAATTTAGAAAATGGTGGATTGAACTTGGTTTTACAGCGCTTAACCTCTCACTTGTATGACAGTCGCATCAAATTCCATTATATTTACAACGATGCGTGAACAAAACAGACATAATAGGTGTCACAATCTCAAAACAAACAAACATTTAACAAGGAAGCACAAAAAGCATCTAACAAAATTAACAACCACATTCATTGCTTACTTATATATGTAATATAAATCAACCCATAAAGGATTGAAATATGACTGCATTCACATCTAATCTTAGTGTAGAGTCGCGTGTTTGAGGAAGAAACTGTCTTTGATTTAAATGATTTTGTAAGATTTAACTTTACATGTGGTATCCTGCATTCCAATTTTGATGGAATGGATGAATTCTGGTGCATACCCGGTCTCGCTCCTTTATGAGTTCATGCAATTCACTCCGTTTTTGTTTGCAAACTCCATGTGTTACTGTCTTACCGATTTATGTAGTCTGGACATTGGTAAACTACTGTATTTTATATCCATAAAATTGAGCATGGAAATGGGGAATGTGTCAAAGAGACAACAACCCGACCATAGAACAGACAACAGCAGAAGGTCACCAACAGGTCTTCAATGCAGCAAGAAATTCCCGCACCCGGAGGCGTCCTTCAGCTGGTCCCTAAACAAATATATATACTAGTTCAGTGATAATGAACGCCATACTAAACTCCAAATTGTACACAAGAAACTAAAATTAAAAATAATACAAGACTAACAAAGGCTAGAGGCTCCTGACTTGGGACAGGCGCAAAAATGCGGCGGGGTTAAACATGTGAATTCATTCGTTTTCGTGGGTACCAATTTTCATGGGAAAGATTATATGTCCGTGAATATTAAATTTTGTAGTTTCGAAAAAGTCTGCTTACAAACCAATTGAAAATATGTACATCGTTGAACATGCAAATTCGTGGTTCACCTATGGCCACGAAATTCACGAAAATGTATACCCAAAGATTAACAATGAATCCACAGTAACCATGGTAACACATAAAACATTATAAAATCAGCATTTGTTTTACTAAAATGTTATTGGTAATAGATTCGACAACAGTGTATATTAAATTTGAAATGAATTTGTTTCTGTTTATTTTTAGGTAACGAGTACTATTCAAACAGTGGTTACAACAGATATTAATCAATTACAAAAAAAGACTCTATTCCAATTCAGAACTGATCTTAATAGAATATAGAATTTTGGAACAATGATTAAATATTTGAACAGATATACACGTGTACCATGTTACTGTCCAATGATAGTAATTCATTATATAGGATTATACTAAGTTGTCTAAATGATCGTTTTTAATGTGTGCTTCAGTGATATAACACCACAATCATAATAGCGATATCTAATAATTCTGATGTGCTTTAAATCATTATTCCTAAGCAATTATTTTTATAAAAATAAGATAACGACTTCAGTATGTTTCTGAAATTTGGTTCTGTACTAAGACAAAAATATCACAGTTGTTTTCCATTCGTTCCGTTTTTTGATAAAGAATAACTTCTGATTATGTCCGTGTAATGGACTTCTCCTTTTCGAATTTGAAAAGCATGAAAAAAAGAAAACTTAAGAAAACAATTACAATCCAGATAGATTTATGGTACACAACATACAAAATCAACATTTAATTTTGTAAAGTTTGCAACTGGAAAGGAAAAGGTTTTAGCCTAAGAAATAAAAATTTTGAGGACTATTTCGAATTTGCACATCATGTTTAGATATGCATAAAATTAAGAAATATACATTAATTATAGAAACTGTTTGATGTTATGATATGATTTATGATATTACGTCAAAATATTTTATTGTTTTAATGAAGAAACTACAAAATTTATGCAGTTTACCATCGTTATTTCTATTGTGGAAACATCGTGCGCAGTAAAGAAACAACAAAGCTTTTTTATACTTATTGACAAAATCTCACTGAAAATAAAGTTGTTTCTTGGTTGAGCACATACTTTCCCAAACTAATATATACTCAAAAGTTGATGTAAAGCAAGGAAAATCAAGAAATTTTACAAGATATTCACATTTTGTCATGGTTTGTTGCTTTGATTTCTCGTTTAACCTGAAATATGTTTTTATTTTCTGAACACCTTGTATTTTTATGTAGTTATGACAAATTTAAGAATATGTATGGTAACTTATCAATTTGCACTAATTTGTGGGCCAAATAATTGCCTTATTGCCCCTACTCCTTTTAAACAAACAGGCCGTTAGTTTTCTCGTTTGAATTGTTTTACATTTGTCATTTCGGGGTTTTTTATAGCTAACTATTCGGTATGGGTTTTGCTCATTGTTGAAGGCCGTACGGTGACCTATAGTTGTTAATTTCTGTGTCATTTGGTCTCTTGTGGAGAGTTTTCTCGTTGGCAATTATACCACATCTTCCTATTTTATATGAATGCTACATTGCGTTGTATTGAGTATTCTACATACTTACTAAGAATGACAATCAAAGAAAACAGAAAATCCTGTAATAATTTGATTAATATAGGACGTCCATTCTTTCAAGTTTTGGCCATAACGTCAATAAGACACGTTTTACACCACTTATTTATTAGTTCGTGCAGACTGTTGCGATAAAGGGGATACGATACGGTAAAGATTCACTGAAATATTTTGTTGATGATTGACACAAAAGATGTATACCATTCGAATATCCAAAAGAAAGAAAGAAGGAACTAACTTACTTCAATGACCTACTTTTTAAAATATGTCAGTTTCTTTTGGGCTTTTTTTTAGAAAAAAAGAAATAAATATTGACTTGTAATATTCACGAAAACATAACTTTTCAATGTTGCCTGGTTTTTCCCGCTCGTTTTAAAAGCCAATAAGGATTATTTCTCCCGGATTTATAACATATTTTTAGTTTCTAATATCAACAGCTCCCTCTCACTGTATCGTATGTCCTTAAAGGTAATTTGATTATTTGTAGCAAAATAGTTATGATGTTTAAGGACTGTCCGAATTGCTTGGAATGTGTGTTTACTACCGAAATGTTGACAATCAAACTCAATACAACTATATAAGTCTAAAACGACTTACTATATGCTTTGCATTTTACATATTTTTAATTGTTTAACAGAAAATAACATTTAACTCTATGAATTAAGTGTTATTTAAAACTTTGAACTTTTGTATAAAAATTGTTCAATACGCTCATGTTAAGTGAAAACATTATTTTCAAACAAAGTAATAGAACATAAATAAACAATCAATATACTGTTTACTACATATTTGCTGGTATTTTTGGCATCGTTTCTTGCTTCATTGTGTATATTTTATTAATAAAAGTTGTTATATTTTTACATTTTGGATGCTTTTAAAAGTCTTTTTATGAACATGATGGATAAAAAGATATGTTGTATACAATGTATATATCACTAAGGACATGTTCACATTGAGCTAAACTCGGTATGGTATTAGTGTTCTCAACACGTAAACTAACTCTACTACGTTCCCATTAATACAAATCAATGTTTACATGTTGTTTAAATCACAGTCGAGTGAATTTTATTATGAATATTTAAGGAACAAACCTCTTTTGAATAAACATGATCTTTTTTATATTATGAATGGTGTTATTAACCAAACGTACATTTTTATGCCTCACCTACGATAGTAGAGGGGCATTATGTTTTTCGGTCTGTGCGTCCGGTCGTCCGTCTGTCCGTCCGTCTGTCCCGCTTTAGGTTAAAGTTTTTGATGAAGTTGAAGTCATATCAACTTGAAACTTAGTAGTACACATGTTCCCTGTGATATGATCTTTCTTATCTTTAAGCCAAATTAGAGTTTTTACCCCAGGGTCCACTGAACATAGAGAATGATAGTGCGAGTGGGGTATCCGTGTACTATAGACACATTCCTGTTAGACTTAAAGCATCAATTAATTAATTAATCTTGAATGAAAAACAGCAACAAGATTTTTTTTATGAAAGTCCATGTAATATTTATTTTAACCCTTTAACCCCTTCTTCAAAGGAAACAAACTATTTGTTACTTCCTTTCTGAAACCCTTTTTTAAAGAAAAAATGAGTTAATAATTAATTTATTGAATATAAAACATGCGTCTGTCCCGCTTTAGGTTAAAGTTTTTGATGAAGTTGAAGTCATATCAACTTGAAACTTAGTAGTACACATGTTCCCTGTGATATGATCTTTCTTATCTTTAAGCCAAATTAGAGTTTTTACCCCAGGGTCCACTGAACATAGAGAATGATAGTGCGAGTGGGGTATCCGTGTACTATAGACACATTCCTGTTAGACTTAAAGCATCAATTAATTAATTAATCTTGAATGAAAAACAGCAACAAGATTTTTTTTATGAAAGTCCATGTAATATTTATTTTAACCCTTTAACCCCTTCTTCAAAGGAAACAAACTATTTGTTACTTCCTTTCTGAAACCCTTTTTTAAAGAAAAAATGAGTTAATAATTAATTTATTGAATATAAAACATGCTTTCTAAATTATTAACATTATTTTCATTAGTAATCAAAGCTGGACTTCAAAGTTATTGTGAAATTACCTACTCCAGTGTAAATCAGTGTGGATACTAAAAAAGGCCAAATCTCTGTTAGAGTACATTACATCTAAGTCTCTTTCCTCTTGAAATCGTTCTTTTCTGTGTTACCGGGGAAACAAATTTCTCCGCTGATATAGCTGGAGGAAAATTGCAGAGGCGGCAGCGGGTCTCCGCGGGTCTGTGTTACAAAAGGGGAAAAACATTTGATTTTTCTGCCCGTTACACAAGTATTTCCCATTCCAATCTAGATGACAAGTTGAAAGATATTGTCCTGCTTTGTTTCGTTAAAAAGAATGGCCAACGTTGATACAAGTAACTTCTCTTAAGGAGGGATTAATTGTACTTTGTAAAATAAAGGCAACAGTAGTATACCGCTGTTCGAAACTCATAAATCGATAGAGATAAAAACAAATCCGGGTTACAAACTAAAACTGAGGGAAACGCATCAAATATAAGAGGAGAACAACGACACAACAAAAACAAAACATTAAAAAAATTCAGAAACGAACCATAATATAACAATGGCCATTTTCCTGACTTGGTACAGGACATTTTAAGAAAAAAATGGTGGGTTGAACCTGGTTTTGTGGCATACCAAAACTCCCACTTTAATGGCAACGTCAAACACAACACCAAAACGACAACATCACATGACAGGACCACAATACAAATAAATGGGAGAACACATAGGACAAAGAAACACACGAATAATAGCTAACAAAAGGTACTAGGCTTAAAATTTAATACGCCAGTCATATATATTCAATAAAATAATTCTCTGAAACCGACATCATCCAGAATCGTATAGAGGACGTGTATTTCAAAAAAATCAAACTTGAAATAAAAGATACAACAGATACAGTTTAACAATTAACAATGATGATCAGTTGTGAAAACAAACCCTAAACATTTCTTTGCAGCAACATTCCATAAGTGTCTGCATCTCCCAGTTGATTGAATATTCCAGATCTTGCATTTTCTATTTTAATTTTTTTAACAGAGGGTTGCTGCTTACAAGGAAGATATTAAACCAAGAGTTCCATGTGGTGAACATGAAATCACCCCTTCGTAAATTTCACGGATGCCATTACGAGTTGTTTGACCATTAAAGAAAATCTGTTTCACAGATAACGACGGTTATGTTCCAATTGTCGTAACAACAATTCCGTCCCCATACTAGAATGAGACCTACCAAATTAAACTTATCACCGGGTTTGTACTTATTTGAGCAACACAACGGGTGTCACAAGTGGAGCAGGATCGTTTAACCCTCCCGGAAAACATGAGATCCTCCTTGGTTTTTGATCGTGTTTGTGTAACTCGTGACAAACAAGTGAATTGTTAGAGCCATGATACTCATTTTCTTTATTTTCGATGCGTTCCCATTTGTTAATTTAACTTTTCCTTGACAGTTTTATAAATATTTGTTGTATTGAATTTGTTCTTTTAGAATCGGTGATTACTATTTACCTTTCAGTTCACGTTTGTAAACATTCTGCCATCACGGTAATCCCCTAGCACTTGCGATGTGCGGTGGCTGAAGTTCTAACGAGAGGTCTCGGAGTTAAGGTCATTGCATACGGTAAAATATCGGCGAATTAGTGTACGGGAAGACAATAATTCAATAGCGGTATATTTGTGACGTTTTGGTGATATACAGGATTTTCTTTGACAGTTCACGTACACTTGTTTAATAGTAAAACTTAGCCATTCAAGTATATAAAACATATTCAATTTGTTTTTGAAATTTAAAGGTTCATATGACTTTAAGCTTATTTTCTTTTTTCAAATGATGCATAGGTTAAAACTTGACGACTTATGATTTTAAACACACATGTCCAATGAATGATAACTTAAAGCTGTCAACATGAAAGAAGAGTGTACATGATAATCATTTGTATTGTGACAGGAAAAAACAGATATACATATTTCAACATTGTAGCTTTTATTTAATAATCTGCAGTAAATTCGGAAAAATGAAGTTACAGCGAAGGTCTTTTTTGGGGACTTTCTTGTTTAGAAGCTATTATAAATTCCATATGACTGACTATAAGTATGGTGCTTGGGACTTGGGACAGCTATTTATTAAAATGCATCAAATGTTTGATACCATCTACTTGCAGTAGAAACTATGACAGATAGAAAGAAACTCATTAAAGATACCCTGCTTATTTTTCCAGACGTGCATTTTGTCTACTTAAAATGTATTTATACTGCCATAACAGGAAAATGGATATGGGGTATTTATCTACGACACACGTATATTCACAGCATGTACATAACATGTATAAGGTTCCATAGTTTGACAAAACGCGCGTCTGGCGTATTTAATTATAATCCTTGTACCTTTGACAACTATTTACACCACTGGGTCGATGCCACTGCTGGTGGACGTTTCGTTCCCGAGGGTATCACCAGCCCAGTAGTCAGCACTTCGGTGTTGACATGAATATCAATTATATGGTCATTTTTATAAATTTCCTGTTACAAAAATTTTGCGGAAAACTAAGGATTTTCCTTAGCAGTATTTGGCACAACTTTTTGGAATTTTGGGTCCTCAATGCTATTCAACTTTGTTCTTGTTTAGCTTTATAACTATTTTGATCTGAGCGTCACTGATGAGTCTTATGTAGACGAAACGCGCGTCTGGTGTAATAAATTATTAAAGAGGAAATCAATCTAATACTGGTACTTTTGAAAACTATTTGAACCACTGGAAAGATATTGGCTGTTGGATCTCAATAATTGTCACATTTACCTATCATGTCTGTCTGCTCACCCAATTTATCAATATAACGGAACCATAAACAACTGTCAAACAATGGGTGGTTTGGCTAGCTAAAAAAAAAGGTTTAACTCGCAATTTTCTTCGAAAAAATGCCTGTACCAAGTCAAGAATATGACAGTTGTTACCGTTTGTTCTGGTAGACAAAGTCTAACGTTTGATTTTGTTAGTTTTTATGGATTTCCTCTTTTTGAATTTATCTTCGATTACGGTATTTTTGTTATTCCTTCTTATTGCTTTAAAACATATCTTTAGCTTAATGAACAATTTGAAATTAATTTAATGACGACAAAGTATAATGCAATTTTGGATTTTTATTTTCTAACTTATACTGCTACCTTTTCTAAGTATACTTCATAAGCAGAGTGCCGTTCACGGACACATTGTTGATATAAATCTGGCTCATGAACATGTCTATTCATATTAGATAGTTTCAAATCTTCATTTTTCCCGCTTGACCCAGTATAAATGATAAACAATATTCTTTATACGTGCGGCGAGTTTCTTCTGCATTTTTGAAAGTCTTGATACTCCTGTTATATAACAAATAAAAAGTTAAGATGTTGAACGACATCAACCACAAATGAATGCGGGATGACAAATGATGATGTGTTTAGTTTAGTTTTCGTTTGTTTGTTAATTCTATCTTCATAAAAAAATCTTTGGCGTCAATAAATCTGGTGATGTATTTTTTACTTACGATGGGAACATAAAAAATATACAATATGTTCTGGTTTGAATACAGCACTACTAATGAGCGCGTTGCCAGTAAAACTGCATTTCCGACCGTCGAATCTCCAATTGACAGCAACATCTCTACACGTACAAAACTGTTATTCATTTAATACAATAACAATTAATTTAACTACAACGAAGGATTGCAATAGTTATAATGTCGGCTAATGAGGGGCATTCATCATTGTAATACTGCTTTTCTAATTTATACCGGCTTACGGTTATATTCTGTCTGAGATTTAAATGATTAAAATGAAAAAAACCTATAACAGATAAAATAAAAATTAACTTAATCGTGTATTAAGATGTCGTAAAGCATTTAAAAAAAGGGAAAAAAAACAACAAAAAACAACACGTTACATAACAAAATCCCGTAGCGCATGACTGAATTTTAACAGTTGTTCGTTGATGACTTGAATATTTTTGGATATTTGAATTCTGAAATTACTTAGTTTTTTTATATACACTGTTAAGGTAAGTAGAGTAAAATATACAAGGAACCAAAACTTTGTCTATCCAATCGAAAAT